AGACCCCAAATCCCCCCAGACCCCAAATCCTCCTTTCCCCAAATCCCTGTTTTCCATTTTCCCCTCCTCCCTCCCCAAAATTTCTCTTTTTCCCCCCAAATCTTTCCTTCTCCCACCTCGTTCCCCAATTCCTCCCTTTTTCTCCTCTTTTTCCCCATCCCCATTTTTCCCCAATTCCCTTTCCCTCCCCCAATTTCCCCGTTTCCCCAATCCCCATTTTTCCCATTTTCCCCCCAAACCCCAATTTTTCCTGATCTTTTCCCCCAAACCCCCATTTTCCCTATTTTTTGCCCTCACATCCAGATTTCCCCATTTTCCCCCAAACCCCCCATTTCCCCCCATTTTTCCCTGGTTTCTTTCCCAATTTTCACCCTGTTTTTTCCCGTTTTTCCCCGTTTTTCCCATTTTTCCCCGTTTTAGCCCATTTTCCCCCCGGATATGCGGAGGGCCAGCACGAGCAGCAGCAGCCCCAGGGCCGGCGCGTAGGAGCCCATTCCCCATTCCCCATTTCCCTGCTTTTACCCCATTTTCACCCCGTTTTTGCCCATTTTCACCCCGTTTTTCCCATTTTTCCCCGTTTTCCCCATTTTCTTTTTGCCCATTTTCACCCCGTTTTTGCCCATTTTTCCCCGTTTTTGCCCATTTTCACCCCGTTTTTGCCCATTTTTCCCCGTTTTTGCCCATTTTCACCCCGTTTTTGCCCATTTTTCCCCGTTTTTGCCCATTTTCACCCCGTTTTTGCCCATTTTTCCCCGTTTTTGCCCATTTTCACCCCGTTTTTGCCCATTTTTCCCCGTTTTTGCCCATTTTCACCCCGTTTTTGCCCATTTTTCCCCGTTTTTGCCCATTTTCACCCCGTTTTTGCCCATTTTTCCCCGTTTTTGCCCATTTTCACCCCGTTTTTCCCCGTTTTTGCCCATTTTCACCCCGTTTTTGCCCATTTTTCCCCGTTTTTGCCCATTTTCCCCCCGGATATGCGGAGGGCCAGCACGAGCAGCAGCAGCCCCAGGGCCGGCGCGTAGGAGCCCATTCCCCATTCCCCATTCCCCTGTTTTACCCCATTTTCACCCCGTTTTTCCCCGTTTTCCCCCGGTTTTGCCCATTTTCACCCCGTTTTTCCTCGTTTTTTTGCCCGTTTTTGCCCGTTTTCCCCGTTTTTCCCCCCGGATATGCGGAAGGCCAGCACGAGCAGCAGCAGCCCCAGGGCTGGGCGTAGGAGACCATTCCCCATTCCCCATTCCCCTGTTTTACCCCATTTTCACCCCGTTTTTTTGCCGGTTTTGCCGGTTTTGCCCATTTTCACCCCGTTTTTCCTCGTTTTTTTGCCCGTTTTTGCCCGTTTTCCCCGTTTTTCCCCCCGGATATGCGGAAGGCCAGCACGAGCAGCAGCAGCCCCAGGGCTGGGCGTAGGAGACCATTCCCCATTCCCCATTCCCCATTCCCCTGCTGTTACCCCATTTTCACCCCGTTTTTCCCCGTTTTTGCCCATTTTCACCCCGTTTTTCCCATTTTTTCCCGTTTTCCCCGTTTTTCCCCCCGGATATGCGGAAGGCCAGCACGAGCAGCAGCAGCCCCAGGGCCGGCGCGTAGGAGCCGACGGACACGAAGCGCGCCAGCGAGGGCAGCAGGTACAGGAAGTAGGACTGGTGCAGCCGCTCCAGCAGGTTGTTCAGCTTCCGGAACATTCCCTCCAGCGTCCTGGGGGGTCAGGGGGGGATTTGGGTAAGGGGAGACCCCCCGGGACCCCCCGGGACCCCCCAAATAAAGAGAGAGACCCCCCTGGGATCCCCCAAATCCAGGGTGAGATTCCCTGGGATCCCCCAGCCCCACAGCTCCAGGAGGTTCCGGAACATTCCCTGCAGGGTCTTGGGGGGACAGGGGGGGATTGGGGTCAGGGGAGACCCCCCCGGGACCCCCAAATCCAGGGTGAGACCCCCAGGATCCCCTAAATTCAGAGAGAGACCCCCAGGATCCCCTAAATACAGAGAGACCCCCTGGGGTCCCCCGACCCCACAGCTCCAGGAGGTTCTGGAATGTTCCCTGCAGGGTCTGGGGGGGACAGGGGGCAATTTGGGTAAGGGGAGACCCCCCCTGGACCCCCAAATACAGAGAGAGACCCCCAGGATCCCCTAAATTCAGAGAGACCCCCTGGGGTCCCCCAACCCCACAGTTCGAGGAGGTTCTGGAATGTTCCCTGCAGGGTCTTGGGAGCACAGGGGGCACAGGGGTCAGGGGAGACCCCCGTGACCCCCCAAATACAGAGAGAGACCCCCAGGATCCCCTAAATCCAGGGTGAGACCCCCGGGATCCCCTAAATAAAGAGAGAGACCCCCCTGGGATCCCCCAAATCCACGGTGAGACCCCCCGGGATCCCCTAAATTCAGAGAGAGACCCCTGGGATCCCCCGACCCCACAGCTCCAGGAGGTTCTGGAACATTCCCTGCACGGTCCTGAGGGTGAGATCGGGATTTGGGTCAGGGGAGACCCCCAGGACCCCCCAGGACCCCAGACCCACCTGCCCAGCGCCCCCAGGTCGAACTTGTGCTGCCGGAAGCTGTTGATGCCCCGCAGGGTCAGAGACCCCCGGGACCCCCAGGGTTCCCAAAGCCCCCCAGGACCCCCAGGGTTCCCAAAGCCCCCCAGGACCCCCCAGGACCCCCCGGGACCCCAGACCCACCTGCCCAGCGCCCCCAGGTCGAACTTGTGCTGCCGGAAGCTGTTGATGCCCCGCAGGGTCAGAGACCCCCGGGGTTCCCAAAGCCCCCCAAGCCCCCCAGGACCCCCAGGGTTCCCAAAGCCCCCCAGGACCCCCCAGGCCCCCCCGGGACCCCAG